AAAGCAGCTAGTTGTTGCATCCAGTTACATGAGAATAGGCCTACTGTACATGTTATTCTTGTATTGTGAACTACCTTATTAGTACGGATTACCGAGGGGTAATTACTTTTAGTAGTAAGGAAACAATGCCTAATTTTAAATAGATTAATTGGACCCGTAAACCGTTGAGCGAGAGCACACTAACCGCCAACTTAATTTTAAGCGACTACCTTTTATAATAGGCTTACTAAATTATCATATTTAAATCTATATTTTACGAATCTGGGTCGTTTCGGCCATGAGTCAATTCGGCCCTTTTCGGGCCGAAACGAACTGGGTCGGAATTGACAGATCATTTCGGTCGCGCCCTATAATTGTTTGTATGCATTTCGAATGCGATTAAAATGAGCCGCAGTAGTGAACGCAAAATACGCAGTAGTGGTTTATTGGATGAATAAAGTACTTTTATGAGTTTGTGTTTTTTTTCTGTTTTTAAGCCTATAGTAGAGTCATTTTCATGAGATCCGTGACTAATTTTAGGATACCATTTTTTCTCGATGGATTTGGCAAGATGGACCAATTTAGATAAAATATTGCTCTTATATACCTCCAAGATATTGGGGGAAAGTCCCGTTTGGGGGCGTTTTTCAAAATGGCCGCCTGTTGAATTGGACACTTGTATCTCGATAATCACTGGATTGATTTTGGTCTGAAATTGTTCACAATATACATGTTCCTTTTTGTTGTAATACAACTTTTTACCAAAAAATGGCGGGAAATGCAGTTTTTGAAAGTTTGACCTTTGACCTTGTAATGTCATATCTCAGTAACTACTGGTCATAGAGACTCACAATTGATTGCAAACTGTTCAGGAGATTCATGTTTATATTCGTCCTAATGAAAAAAAAACTATTCAAATAGTGACCGGAAAAGATAGATTCTGACCTTTGACCTATTATAGGGTCATTCCATGTCAAATCAACCAGATTAAAAAGAAATTCCTGTATGACCCTCTCAGATTTTGATGAAACTCCATAAAAATGATCCACTTTATGAAAAACCAACAAAAAAATTAAGCCTCATAGGATATGTAGGTTTCGAGAAATTTTGAGACTCGCCAATTCGTTCATTTTCCTGTAGCGGCAGTTTGAATTTAAGGGGGCGTGGACCAAAATAAATATGAATATAATACGAATTCTAGGAAGTTTCTATTAATGAATCGAAAATGAATATATTCATGAAACAGAATAGAAAGTTTCCAGAAAATAATTTACCATATATTGGCCACAAAAAATGATGTATGTGATGTCCCAATTGCCATGTGCTGTGACTTACTAATAATAAGGGCCGAAACCCACAATACAAATTTGATGAGGTTATTATTACCCAGGTTTAAGTTGCACATTAAGAATTAAACCAGAAATAGCTTTAGATAAATAAATTTGAAATTCATAGAAAATTTAATGGGTCTATGACATAGATTTAGAAAATTAAAGCAAAATATTTACATAAAAGTAGGGTATTATTGTTGATGATGTGTTAAAAACATGTTTTTAAGGATATTGAATCAGCAGTAAAAGGTGTCCTACACCACAAAAGGTTGAAGGGGTTGTATGATGATATTAGCATACGAAAATCAAAGTTAATTTGAGGCACACCCCCTTTACGCCGAATTGTCGCTACGGGAAAACGAAAACTGAATTTGAATCTCAAAGCTTCAGGTTTTTCTATTCACAAGGCCGGAGGTTGCAAAAAATTAAAAATCTATGACCTGTAATGTTGTAATCATTTGTTGAGAGGCCACGCCCCATTAACCTTAAATTGCAGCTACATGAAAACGAATGAATTGGCGAGTCTCAAAATTTCAGGTTTTTCAATTCACATATATCTATATCACTGAGACAGTGTCCGAAAAAAAAATAAAAATATCAATGACCCTGGTGTAATGCATTTGTTGAGTTGGCATAGAATGACTTAACTCTTAAAAACTTTCGTGATTTCTGATTACGTTATTGTGTAGTTTTCAACATAGTATCTAACCATGAAGGAGCTGAGTACCAAAGCTGAAATTTAGTTTATAGGTAGATCTAATATATCTGATTAAAACTGGGGTAAATTTAAGAAAAGATTTTAAATGTCCACATGACGATCCGCTGTTGAGAAACATAGGCGTTTTCCACTTTTATAGATCTGGTCCCAAGTTTGAATATATGCCATTCAATTTTAATTGATTTGATTAGCCTGCGCTTGCATGTGGCTAGAGACAACTACACTCAGATAATATATCTGTAATATGAGGGGTATATACCCACTCAAATGGACGCAGGGTGACCTCGAAAATCACAAAAAAAAATTGCAGCGTTAAACAATGCGGCTAATTTGAGTGCAGATAACTTCAAAAGGGAAGGGATAACTGTTAATCTAAGGCAACATTTGTGAAATATGGCAAAAAATAAATTAGAATACCAAGTTTGACCCTGATAGCTATTACCAATCTCGAGTTATAAGCTTCCAAAGTTGAAGTAAATGCGTTTGCACATCTTGAAGAACCACGCCCTAATATCTCGGAAACTATATATTCTATAAGGCTAATTTTTTTTTGTTGGTTTAGCATATAGTGGATCATTTTTATGGAGTTTCATGAAAATCTGAGACAGTCATACAGGGATTTTTATTTAAATCTGGTTGATTTGACATGGAGTGACCCTACAATATGTCAAACGTCAGAATGTACCATTTTCGTTCACCATTTGAATATTTTTTTCATTAAGACGAATATAAACATGAATCTCCTGAACACTTTGCAATCAATTGTGATCTCTGTGACCAGCAGTTTCCGAGATATGACAATACAAGGTCAAAGGTCAAACTTTCAAAAATCGCATTTACCGCCATTTTATGATAAGGAGTTGTATTACAACAAATAGGAACATACATATTGTGAACAATTTGAGACCAAAATCAAGTCTCTCTGACCAGTGGTTATCGAGATACAAGCGTCCAAATCAACAGGCGGCCATTTTGAAAAACGCCCCCAAACGGGACCCCCCCCCCAATATGCGATTTTTTTTTCCGTACGAAACATTTACATGAAACTCCACTCGGGCCGTCTCGGCTGAATCGACCCGAAAATCTCATTGCAGAATTCAGGAGGTCAAAAGGTCATCAACAGATAAACGTCTAC